AATGTAGTTGTTCTCCAAGCGGAGATACAACGGAATGCCTGGCTTCAAGATGATGCTGCCAATACTGTCGAAGTGGTAATAGGAAACACAGTCTGATGCAATCCATTCTTCGGCCTTTCGCCGGATTTTGCGGACTGGGACGAGGATACCTGGCTGTGCAGAGTGGGCAGAAGCAAACCGGCAGCCGTGGACCATTTCGGGCACAGATCGCTCGTCTCGATGGCATCCATCAGCGCCAGAAAGCCATCAGTGGTGATGGCGCAATCTGACAGATGCCTGGCAACATGAAGCATCAACTCACTGATTCATACTGCTGTCTTCTCCAGCACGGCTTTCAATAGGAGGCCCGCACTTTAATGATGGCCTCTAAACGAGTTGCTTAGAGTCTTAGAGGCTTAGAGCTCAATGCAGGCGGACCTGCACCAACTCCACGACGCTTCAGAAAAGCTGTGACACAGCTTTGTGTTTTGGCGAGACATGCGTAGATTGAGGTAGACAGATGAGAAGCCTTGCTCGCTGTGTTTACATGAGCCTGGAAAAGATGGGTGTCATGAGGCAAGCATGTTGCACACTAAGGAGGTGATCACGTTTCGATCTCCTCCTGGAGCGACCGGTTTTTGTGAGAAACACAGCAAATCTGTGATGGGTTGGCCGTTGGCAAGATCCACAACAATCAGAAACCATCAATGCCATAAACTGTCATTAACCCCGAAACATGGGGTGGAGTGCAGCTCCCACGGCGCGGTATCCGCAGTGACTTGCCTGGGACGGCAAACATGTCTCTCTGAAGCAAATCCAGCACTCATGGGCTCGTGCAGCAATGAGCGGTATCAGCCCACGTTACAGATTCTACAGCAGGGAAGAAACTCTGGTGGCATGAAAAGAGGAAAAACCGAAACCCCAAGCACAAACGAAGACACGCACCCACACACACAGACAGAGAGGGGGAGAGAGAGACAGAGAGACTAATTCGATCAAGATACCCCTTCCACTATGTTGCTGCTGACAGTAAGACAATGGGGCTCTGAGTGATGTCCAGCCCCGAGCACTTGCGATCTGACACCTTCGCCTACATGTGTAACGATGCTGATAATACAGCTGTGCCTGGACCTGTTCTGAGTTTCAACGCTTCTAAGACGGATTGGACATTGAAGGACTGGGGTGCCGGCCCAGCGAGAAAGTTTGCAAGCGACTGCAGAACCTGCCCAGAGAGATGATAATGCGCACCCTCGGATTGAGGGCTCGAGCTGAACTTTGATGTGTGCGAAACTTGGTGAGTGCACCACAAGATGCTGAACTACAAAGTGTGTGTGTGTGTGTGCGTGCTTTACAGTGCAGTGACCTACGCACGGAAGGGTGGCTTGCTGCACCAACGGGCCGCCGAAGCGCAAAGAGAGACAGAGAGACAGTTGACGCACACCTTCGCTGCAAGCTCGGTCAGCCAGCGCAGCTGACCGGTGTACGCCCTTGCAACTTCCAACAGGAAGCAAGAAAAACCCCAGCCAAGAAGGCAAGAAAACAACCAGAGCACTAAAGCCAAACTCTCAAGAGCGGGGCTCAAGAAGGACGGCAGAGGAAAAATGCGCAGTGTGCACAGCTTTGAATCTTTGGTCACCATCCAAAAGCAAGTCACGTATACCGCACGGCGTGTCGTAACACATTTCACACAGTGGCTGCCAGCGCCACTTGTTGAGCACTTCAAGAAAGCGAGCGGAGCGCTGCTTTGATCTCACCAGGCGGCGTTTTCCACCCTGGTTCTTTGTCGGCGTGCACAGCCTATGGAGGCGGGCCTTCACCTTAGGTCAAACCTGAGGGCAAACGGGGTTCCACGAGCCTTAGTTGTACTGTACCAAACTCCTAAGAGCTTCAAGGTCCTACACAGGCCACCTACGCTGTGAACTGCAACTCCAAGCTTTCAACACCGTTGCTCTGGAGCGACTGCACTTGCAGAAAAAGTCACCCCTTGCGTTGTTGAGAGAAAAACCGAAAACCTGGTCCCCAGCTTCCGACTCATGCACCAAATTAGCCAGTTCGTTCAAAACAGATGACCACAAGGTGCGATCATCTGCAAAGACAGACAGCTGCACGGAAGCACCTTGGGATTTCATGTGATGCACCCATGTGGCCATCGAGGCCGCCAACAAAGCACCACTGCACGGACAACCTTGAAGCAGCCCCCCGTTTGCAGGAGAAGCTTTCTTTTGCAGACACGCCTTGCCATTCCATGGTCTTCACCTGAGAACCCTAGCAAGCAGAAAGCACCGCAGTGATCGATGTTTTGCACCGTCGAGAACATTTTGCTCTAGACTCGCATGCAAAGGCTCGTGAGCTTGATTGGCGCAACGGCCCTTCAGGCCGCCAGTGCGCTCGACCGGTGCCCACTCATCTATCCAAGAGGATATCTGTTGTTGAAGAACTGTGGCCATTCCAACGCGCCATGCTAGGAAGCTACACTAATAAACTGAACTACAAGGTGTCCATCAAGTCGCGACACGCGCCACGGACCAATTTGCGAGCCGGCAACGGCAAGGGAAAAACGTGTGCTCGTTTGCGGCCGACCTGCCGCTTCTGAGCGGACGTGGCGCTTCAAATCGGATTGGGATGGTATCAAATTGGACCCCTCCTGGTAGCTTTCACAGATGAGCCTGCATTGTAACACCCTGTTGTTCATGACGCGAACAACAAGAAGGGTTGGTATACAAGTTAGAACCGGTGAAGGACCCAAGGGCTACAGCGTGTGGCTCTTTCCCACTTGGCCTTATGGCCTTATTATGGTTCGCAAGCCGCAAGTACATCGGAAGCTCAATGCCTGGTCATCCAGCGTCGGACACCCGAACATTCGGTATCGGATCACCTGGGACAAGATGAAAAGCCCTCAAACCTGTGGCCCACAGCATGCCTCAAGTTTGTGCATCAGCCGCAGGTTCTGAGAGCTCGCCTTGTCTTGTCGTCAGAAACTCTTAATCCCAAATTTCACCGAAGAGAACCTTGATCCTTCTAAAGCCCTCGAAAAAGCCCTCTGCGCAGGCCTTTGCGCCGGCGACGCCCATGGAAACGAAGAGGGTCTGGAAGGCAAATGTGCACGAAAGATAAGTCCACGAGCTCTTGAAACCAATGTTAGCTCAGACGTAAAACTGCTGGAAGTGATAAGACCATACAAGATCCGGAGCTTGTAAAAGCACAGCCGCATGAATTGCGCACCATAGTTGAAGGCTTTCCAAAGATCGTACTCAAGCACAGGGCACGCTGCACAGACACCAAGCCCCAGAGAGCTGCTATGCTGGCGGAGGGTTACTCCTTGCCAGTGATTTTGGGCGACAGGGCCTGCCTCGAATTGCTCAAGGGTCAGCCTGTTTTGCGAGACGTCCAGCTCCTGAATGACCGGACAGGCGGCATCGGACCTCCAACAGGAGACATGTGCAAGCTACACATGGGCCCTGAGCAACAAGGCTAGGCCGGGCCCAGTGCCCACTGCGCCCATTGCGCTCCAGCAAGGTCGTGAGCATGGTTTGGAGGCCGTCGAGCATCGCCTCCACACAGCCGCTCGGACTCATAAGCCGATGGACTGTGGACACAACTGGTGCAACAGGCGATCCGAAACTGCCCAGACGAAGCAAAGGCGGGGCCAAAAGCGGCTACTGAACGACGCCGGAAAGCAGCTGAAGTAACTTAGGGGTGAACAAAGCTTGGCTGCTGGGACCTCAAAAGCCTCCGGCGTTCGGAAGCGGCCTCGGCCTGCGATGCCGAGATACTTTTGAGAGGCAGTGTCTGCATTGACGAACCTATGCAGGTCCAGGTGCCGCTCTGGGAGTACCTAAAAGCCTCGGGGAGTGCAGTGCAGTGCGGCCTTTGATCTCGATCCCAGCAGGAGTCTGCTGCAGCACCGGGCCCGCCCCGCCGGCCGGGCCCTGCAAGTGTGAGAAAAGAAACACCTAAGAAGACGACCACTCTGCGCGCCTGGTTGCCGGGAGGTGCCCAAAATGCCTCAGGATTTGCTGGGCCGGGCTGGGGGGCACGACGCCGTGTGAATCGATTCTGAGCATTTCGCCGAAGCATATCCCGCCATGCCACGAATGCTCAAGGACTAGGGCATGGATGATAATGTGGGAGAGATGGTTGACAGAGTTGGGGCTGGAAGGGAAGGCTGGGTTTGCATCGTCTCCAGTCGTGAACTCATTGTGAATTCGTCGAAAAGCTTGAGGACCTTGGAAACCATGTGGCTCCTGCTGGCTCTTTTTTGCTTAAGTTCTGGTCGCTGCTTGGTCTGTTGCTTTCCTTCTTCGTTGCACGAAGCTGGTGTCAAGTTCGCTGGTCGGCCGGTAAAGCTGATGCTTAGTGTCAGTTCATGCGCTCATGACCAAGTCGCTCCTCGCTCTTTCGCATGCGGAAATGCTGCAGGTGCAGGCTGTGCTACCTTGCTGGGACGACAACAGCAGCACACCAAGCAAGTGGAGTACGCCATGTCATTTCTCAGATCATAACGCAGGCGCCGCCCTCTCTAAACGTGCCGGGCGTGTGAACTGTCATGCTCCCAGCTTCGCCCTTTGTCAACAACAACTTCTCGGTTGTGCCTCCATGGCAAGGGGCGATGGCTCATATGCAGTTACAGCAAGAAGGCACGCGAGGCAGTGAAGCCACGACAGCTCGAAAGACTACCCTGATCAGCACCGTTTCCAGGTGCTAGTGTTCTAGACTACTACAGCCGCCCGGGCGATGCAGAGCTTTCTGCATCGAGCTGCTATGGCAGACGACTGCTGATGCCCGTGCCAAGAGATAGTCAGATGGTTACAGTGCTGCCTGCATGGAGCACTGCCGCACAAGTCAAATGCCAAGTGAAGGTGCTGGGGGATGTTTGGCTGCTGCGGGACGGGGTTGGACGGAATCAAACTCAACCTGGAGCTATGGATTTTGGCTTGACCATGTGCAGTTACGAGGCGTTGATTGAGGCTTCCCGTTAGCTGCGTGCTACAGCCAGCATAGCATCAGTCGATCTGTGGAAGTCACAGCTGCCCCTGCTCCGACAGGAACCTGGGAGATGGATGTTTTGGGGGATCAGGTTCCATGTGTTGGCCCAGAGGCCTCTTCCTGCTTAAACGGCTTCGACCTTCTGCTCGGCAGTGCACGATCGAGCTGAGTTACATGCTGAAGGCGTGCTGTTAATTGATTGCAACAGACACCGCCTCAAACAGCAACTTTCAAGAGATATATGCGTACGAATCAAACTGGTGCCCAAGTGCAGCACTGCTCCAGGGAGGAAGTTTGATGCCGATTGGGATCTCGGATGCCCTTGTTCGTAAGGTCGCAGTACCTTCAGAGCTTGATCTCAGAATTAGCACTTACATGCTGGAAGGCTCTTGCACGAGCCTTGTCACACCTTGTCAGGACACCAGTGTGCATCCCGTGCTATCACGTCAGCACAGAGGGAGTAGCAGTCGTCGTCGACGTCGCTGCTGCTGCTGCCGCCGCGGCTGCTGCTGCTGCTGCGAGCAGCACAAGCACAGTTGGGACAAGCCGGCGGTGGCGGAGGTGGTGGCGGTGGTAGTAGCAGGAGCAACAGCAGCAGCAGCGCAGCAGCCGCAGCAGGAGGAGGAGGATCAGTAGTAATCGTAGTAGTAGAAGTAGTAGTAGAAGTAGAACTAGAACTAGAAGTAGAAGTAGCAGTAGCAGTAGCCGTAGCCGTGGCCGTAGCCGTAGCCGTAGCCGTAGCCGTAGCCGCCGTAGCCGTAGCCGTAGCCGTAGCCGTAGCCGTAGCCGTAGCCGTAGTAGTAGTAGTAGT